ATTCATGAAATAATACTTTAAAAAAATCAAACGGTTTAGCCGCAAACTTCCGTGCCGTATAGCGTGAATAACCCTGTACAATAAATAAATAAATTGAAATATTTTCAAGGAAAAGCAATCGGTTTACCCGACCAATTCCTGGCCCTAAAGGAAGGAAGTCGAGGTGGTGGAGTCATCCAGGTAAGACTGATTCCCTCTCAGCTCTTCTGCTTTTTGGAAGCAAAAGTTCTTTTCCAGACTTCAGCCAGCGAATGTGTCTTGGTATCGATGCTGGCAGCTCGAGCTCAGGCATTGAAGCGGCTGAAACAGCAGCATCCGTTCGTGGAAGAAGGACTGCTGCTTTCGAAGCTGATGGCTTATTGTTCCAAGGAGGCTCATTCATGTGTGGAGAAAGCGGCGATGATTTGCTTCGTGAAACTGAGGATCTTGGAACCGGACGAAACGTCGTCATTGAGAGGGAAAACTTTGTTGTTGGTAAGCAGGTCTGCAACAGAGCAAAACACAAACAAAGAACAGTTCTTAACGACTAAACAAGTACAGTTGGACCAAATTCCTCCGTCCAAAGACCATCGCCAACTAACTAGGCGTGAAATATATCAGCATTCGTTGATCCCTTAGCAAAACTGCAATATTTCGGCCACAATCCTCTCTCTCTTAGGCAATGGAAGAAGATGAAACCATGGGCTTGATACCGTTTTTCGTGTCGACCACCCTTGGAACCACTTCATGTTGCTCCTTTGATAACCTTCCGGAGATCGGAGTTATAAGCCACAAGTTCCCATGCGTGTGGCTTCACGTAGATGCAGCCTACGCTGGAAACGCTTTCATCTGCCCGGAACTCAAATATCTGCTCAAAGGCATCGAACATGCGGATTCTTTTAACACCAACCCCAACAAGTGGCTGTTGACCAACTTTGACTGTTCCACCATGTGGGTAAGGCTCACCCACTAACTAAATCATCGCCAAAAATTCAGGATTGGGGTCTGTAGGTAAGGGACAGAATTCGACTGACTTCTGCCCTAGTGGTCGACCCGCTTTATCTGCAGCATGGATACTCTGATGCCACTATTGATTACCGTCATTGGGGCGTCCCATTGAGCAGACGCTTCCGATCGCTGAAGCTCTGGTTCGTTATTAGAAGTTTTGGCATATCGGGGCTTCAGAAGTACATCAGATTGCATATTCGATTGGCCAAAAGATTTGAAGCTCACGTGCTGAAGGACCGGAGGTTTGAAATTTGCAACGAGGTCAAGGTAAGCGGATTGGTTCGCATGTAGTTCTTGCAAGCTTTTTTCTGCGCGCAGCTGGGGTTGGTGTGCTTCCGACTCAGGGGCCAGGATAAGTTGAATGAGAAGCTTCTGAGCAACATCAACGCCTCGGGAAAGATCCACATGGTCCCGGCCAATGTGAATGAGAAGTATGTCATCAGGTTCTGTGTGGTTTCGCACAATGCTACCGAGCAGGATATAGGTAAAAGTTGCTAGTTGAAAATTCGAGTGTCTGGCTGAAAATTGTCAACTTTCCAGATCATGCCTGGCACGTGATTTCGCAATTTGCAGATGATTTACTCGAAATGCAGAACGCTGACAAGGAACAGGTGAGCGAATCGACAATAAATTGGGTTGAAAGCGAGAGTGTTTCTGGATTGAAAAGACATTGCTTTGGTTATTACAATACGCACCTTTTCCCAATTTATTGGCCAATAAAGAGGTCCAACTATTGAAGGTCATAAAGAGCATAGAACATATTGAAAATTATTGCGGAATGTGAAAATTGCCTGGGAATTTCTGGGATTATTTCTTGTTTCGTATTTTTGTATTGTTGCGGTATTTTTTTCCGTCTAATGTGTTTCAGATGTTGAAATTCTGTGCGTATGCAATAAGTTGAAGAAATTTTAAAGAGAATTAGTTTCTTTTTTGAGGTACAACCACAGAATTTAACTCTTCAGTCGTCAACACTTCGTAACCAACACAAAACAACCGAACTAAAGCATTGAAATGTATGTTAGTTTTACTGAAATTGAACCAATTTATTGTGTCGACGCAGCCAGGAAGATAACCTTCAAYAGTTGGCTCACTTGGCCAATAAATCGGGGAAAAGTGCGTAGTATAATTCCTGCTTAAGAAGTTAGGATTGAAAGTTTCAGGTCTCAATTTTAATTCCGAACTCACTTAAATTTGTTATTTTGAKTGTATTCTTTGTGCACTTTATTTTATAACATATACTTAYTTATTTTWGWAATGAACCATTTTCAATGTTAAATCGCGATATTAAYGACACTTGGGCTCGTTGCTTCTGAAGATGTTAAAAGTCTCAGATGTATGCAATAAGTTTAGCAAATTACTGACGTCCGAGAAGATGAGCATCGTTATTTATTGGCCAATAAATCGGGAAAAAGTGCGTAGTTTATACCGGCATAACAGTTTCGGACAGTCGAAAAACCGTTATTTCTTCAAACTAATCGCAGAATAAATCAGCTGAAATTGCGTGGAAAACGCTAGTAGATACTAATCTACTGAAAATATTTGCATTCAAGTTTCCTTTCTCACACGTGATAGAAGGCGATATGAATATAAACAGTGAAGCGTCGCTGGCGTCATAAAAACACTGATGATGCCGTCACAGATTTTACGTAACCGATTAATGATGTCAGTTTTTTGAGCTCGGAATTCGGCCTTTCTGTTTATTACATTTGCAAATATTTCATACATGATGAGCGATTGGTACTGACGTCTTAATGGTTGCGTGAAGCGTTTTGTTGAGTCAACAGCGAAAAAAGTGTACATCAATCATTAAACAAATCAAGAAGAACCGTCTAAGATTCTTGGTAACGCCAACTTCCCGATTTCTTTCCAGATGTTTAAATAAAGTTCATTCAAGTTTTTCAACGAATACCAATTGTTAATAATCACAGATCTGTCGGATGAGGTTTATTGTTTGATCGGGCAACTTTAAAGTTTTTTTTGCTTAAAATATTGGACTTTGAACCCATTTAGCACAGTGTACAGAAATTAGTACGTTTTAGAATCCCACTCGCAAATGATTCAGCTGTGGGCTGCACTGTTTATAATTACATTAATCAACTGGAAACTAAAATAAATTAACTAAAAAATTAGACTATTTGCTTCGTCGACTGACGGGATAATGAATTCGCTTGAAAGCACTATTTATGAACTGCTGCTCATAAAACTCCAATATTGATTTAAAAGCTGTTTAAAATCGCTTGACGAGAATTCCAATTTTTTTGGTTTAATAATATTGATATGAGTCAGGTGTGAATAATTAATGAACGCACAATATCTAGTGGGTGTTGAGCAGTTGCTGCAAGACCACAAGAAGGCCAACGATCTCTTCGGGCAAGTAAAAACTCATTTTTTTGGCTCGCGGCTGACGTCATCTGAAAGTAAGCGGCAGTTAGGGCGAAGTTACAAAATCGCCAAGCAGACACAGTGGGACAAAGAAGCGATTTTATTGAAAAATACACAAAATTAACCCCAGATGAATGAAACAGTAGAAAAATATTCCGCCGAAGGCACACAAAAACAAATCGCTAATGCGATACAAAAGCGATTAAATAAATAATTAATTTAACAAATGTTTATGTGTGTGTGATCCAGCTTTCGGAAAGTTTCTCAGAATTAACGCCATTTTATGCACGTGTTTGGTCGCTTTCAGTCACAATTCGAATTACAAATAAACGTTTTTTTTGGGTTTATTTGTGCAAAAGCACATCTGCTGCAGTGATCTCAAGTATTTAATGTTGACAAATGTGCCGCTATTCTTATAGATGACATGGTGCTTATAATTAATTAAAAATTAAATTTTGAAAATCCCAAACTAGGAAAAGTTAAATGCAAATCGTGATCAGATTAATAACAATAAGCTGATCTGAATGTTATGAAGACAAAGGTCCAGGTCGCATTCTGCAAAAAAGGAATGCGTTGGCGCATTAAAATATGGTTTAATTTCCGATTGAATAGCTTAGCTAAAACCTTCGGCAACTAATCCTCCGGTTCAGATTATGCTTGAGAGAGTAATTTCCTGTTTGATGACGAAAATATGTGCATGGCAAATAATTTTTTATTTGCTTTGACTCCATTGTGCGTCTCATAACTGTCATCAACAGTTTTTCAGGTTTTCCAAAAAATACGTCTTCTCTACCCCAGCAGGAACTGACCGCGAATTAACTTATAAAGCAAAATCCTGCACATTTACGATCACAATATTCCATAATAATAAATATTAACGTATAGTGCAATCTGTATGCAGATCATTCATAAAACTGCAAGCAAATACGTCAGACTTGCAGCAATTTCCGCTCAATGGCCATTCAAGCTGTGGAACAAGCTGCTTTTTGAGATTTCATTGCAAACAAGAATTTTTCAACTTTCCTAATGTGCATTTGCAGCAACCGCTGTTTTATTGCACTTGTTTGACTTTGGGATTAACTTTGAATTGAGGCGGAAAATGGCTCACTCAGACCATAAAAAATATTTGAATGAAAACAACTAATCCAGAGCGGATGCGCAATTTCCTACGTATCCTAGCATGTGGTTCCTCTAAAAAATAACACTTTCCCTATACCTACAGCCATTAAATTAGTATATCGACGAATAAAGAATAAAACGTGTTAAAAGCCAAAATAAACAGTAGACTAGTGAAAAATAAATGATTCACACCGGCTACTTTGAGAGCAATTGTTTAGAAAACACGCACAAAACACCAGTTAGTAAAACGCTTCAATTTCATAATATCCAAAATAAGTTTTAATTAATCCAAACCAGATAAAATTGCCCCGAATAAACCGGCAAAACATCCCCTAATAAAACGTTTGTCCTAACCAGGAGTTGCAGGATGAAGTGTACGAGTTGCTCGAAAGAAAGAAGAAAGAAACTCTGGCCCAGAAGAGGAGCTTTTTCGTGCGGATGGTTAGCGATCCGAAGATTTACAACCCTTCAATAGCCAAAGCTTTGCCATCCACTAGGAGGCATTTAACTCAACCTTCTGCAGAGTCTCCTGAGAACCACATTACGATCCAGCCACCAACGTAGGTTTTACCACTGTTTTTTTTAATGGAAATTATACGAAATTGAGTCACTTGACTCAGGAATGTAGCAGTTGCTCTCCTCCCAACTCCATTTAAGCCTTCTTTGAAGCGTGGGTTTAATTTGTCAAAGGCTTTTTGAGCATTTGCTAGGAAACTCAATATTTTCAGTTCAAACGCTTGGGCGTAGATTTTCATTTATCGCGTAGATTATAGCGCAGTTTACTTCATTCAGCCATATGACTCAATAGTGAAACCGTCCCAAGCTCTAATTGCCTTCTTGCAGCTGATCATAAATTTGATGGGACTGTTTTAATTGACTCTTATTTCCAGAAGCGCATCCTGGATAAGTTGGCCGCTAGCCTTCCTATTCCAGGGAATTACTGAAGAGGGGTCTGCCAGCAACGTTCCGATTCGGTAAGACCTTAATTAAAAGCCAATTAAAAATTTACTGCGTAATTAAAATGTTGTAGGTTTCGGCATTTGGACACCAAAGTGCGCCTAAAGGCTAGTGGCAAAGGGGAAGCGATTTCTCCTCGACAGTCTCCATCGCCCGAGCGGGACAGCAAGTCACCAAAACGATCACCAAACTCTTCACGTAAATCTTCCCTTGTATCCTAAATGTTTAACTTCGAAGTTGACTTAACCGGCTCCCATATAACAAGTTAATGTACATGTATTTAGTGTGTGAAAATAAATTGGCAAGCAAGACCGTAATTTTCGTTTTTTTTTATTGAATCCCTGTCGGCCTACAGCTTTTGAAATTGTTTTGCAAAACGCCAGCCATAACGTGATGAATTGCGTCAATTATTTCCGCAGAAACTGCTCGAATGGCTCACATGATCTCAATCTTAAATGGGTTTAGCATGGATTGGTACTTTGGCTTGTTGAACTTTCGCATTAACATTTAGAACGACTCAGCAAATTATCATAGGAAAATTCAAAAATAAATCGTTGCAATTTCCGCACATGTAAGCCGGTTGTTTATCCCCTTTTTTAGTTTAAATATTCCCTAACTTTTGTGTGGGACTGTGGATATTTGCTCCCCACGAGGGTGGAAATTTTCTCAGTCGCTGATCGGATTTGAATATTTTTTCCATCGTCATCAAAGGCAAGACCAGTAAAATAAACATGTTGTACAGGATGTCTATACATATAGCGCCATGTTTTCTTCAAAGTTTTACGCTTTTTGTGGGCAATTTAGGGCAGCTGATAGAGAACAAAGTGCTTGATGTTATGGCCTGATGTTTTCTGAGTAATTTGGATATTTAATCGTTCGTCTGCTTATCCTGAGACATTCGAGATATTTACATTTTTTATCACCGGGCACATTTTGAGCGCAAAATATTTTTTTTAGTTGGTTGCTCCTTCTATTTCATCACTTGCTGTGCTCTGGAAGTTTTGTTTTTCTAAGGATAAAGTTTTCCTGTTTTGACGCCTAAAGATATTGTTTTTGTTTTGTTTCTTTATGAAGTTACATAACAATCACATAACAAAATAAACTTTGAGCTTAGAGCTTTCAACCTCTGTAATCTATTTTTGTTCGTAATAATCTAATGTAATCTTTATCTGTTTGTAATAAAATTTTGTTTGCACATGTTTCTTCGGAGTGAAAAAACTAAATTTCGGGCGCAAAAATGTACCTGGTTATAAAAAATACAAATATTCGCAGTCGCAAAAGTTAAGGATATATTAAACTGTGCGTTAAATTTGCGGTGTATACAGGATGTTCTCAACTAATTTACAAACACAACAACAAAATTTACCGATATTTTTTAAGCAAAAATATTGGGTTTTAGAGAAATTTGTCTTTGCCGAAAGTGAACTGTTTCTGTTAGGGTGCCAATATGTAAATAAAGTTTTCGTTTTTTCCAAATAAACTATTAACCAGTTTTTCTATTTAAAAAAAAAAGGTGTTTGGAGATTTTTTACATGGAGGAAACCAAAGTTTGTATCACTTAGCATGTAGCTGCTAAACTTTAGCTGCTAGTCTGGAGCCTTTTAAAATATCAGTCATTTTTTGTGTTTCCAAATACCACTTTTTTGTTTGGCAACGTCTCATTGTACCCTGTTTTCTAATCAAAAATGTGTACTCAATTCAAGTCAATATCTATCACCATTTTCAAGACATTTTACATTGAAACAATAGTGATTTTTGAACTAACTCAAATCGCACGTCGCATTTTTTCAAATGAAGAAATACGCGATATGATTTGTGCTTACTCGAAAGAAAAATTAAAATGCTACAGAAGGCAGAAGAAAAAACATTGTTTGTTAAATTTTGTTATATTGAAAATTTGTTCAAAAAATCACTAGATGTTTCAATGCGAAATATTTCGAAAACGGTGGAAGATATCGGGTTGAATCAAGTACACATTTTTGTTTAATAAATATTGGAGAACGAGAATTTGCCAATAAAAAAGCGAAATTTTTATACCCACAAAATCAGATGTTTTAAATGACTCTAGGCTAAGCAGCTGGGTAATAGGAAATTTTAATTTGTCGTTCTAAAAAAACCCCAATAACCTTTTTTTTGGTAATATGTAGTAAAATTGGTTAAAAATCTACTAAACAAAAACAAAAATTGTATTTACCCGTTGATATCCTGTACCTCGGAATCGACGAACTTTCGGACAAAACAACTTTGCCTGAAACGCAATTTTAACACACTAATTGACTACCTTGTATAAGGAAATTTGCATGAGAGAAGTGAGCAGGTTTGTTCCTCTCCTTTATTTGTGTTTACTCTTTGAATCAACCGGCAAAATAACGCTGGAAAATTGCCAATTGTAGTCAAAATTTGATTTTAAGAAAATCTGTGATAGGTAAGTACTTGACCGTTGGTCAAGCATGCTTACTACTTGTAAACCGGACATTGTTAATGGGTTCTTGAAAAACTACCTTTCAGGTCCCAATCTCTAAGTGGTATTTATTTAGAACCTGCTTTAACACCTACACGGGAATTTCCTAAATCACTTATCATTGTGAAATATTAAAAGTTAGTTGAATAAGCGGAAAACGAGTTCTTGCTTTTGTTTTACATACAACCTAGTTGAATTTACTTAGCTGAATTCCAACAAGTCCCGATAGGAAAGGTGTGTATGTATAGGCTTTTTGCTATTTCAAGTATGCAATGTTTAATCAAAATGCGCTAAAGCACTTTCGGCCATCGCTGAAAGCACAAAAGCCAAAAGTTTCTTTACGGAGCCGGTTTTCCTGTGAATGTCGCAATTCCGGTAGTAATAATGCAAATGTTTCAGACTGTGGACATTTTCTTATTAGAAAAATCCCGCACAGGGAAGTATCTCGTAAATCTACCGCATTCAGGAAAACGGAACAAAGCCTGTTTTCTGTTGTGTTCAGGAGTGTCCAAGAACTGCTCTGTCCATATAATAGCTAATCCTTTACAAATCACTTTTGATGTAGGGGACCGTGAGGCAAAACAAAACAAAGCAACCGGTGCACAAAGAAGACACACTTTGATCTAGTGTTTGATTCCACATAATTAATTTTCAAAATAGGCACCGATAGTTTCAACCTCCGACTATTTCCAGCTCTATAAAGTTAATAATTTAAAGTTTCAAATTCCAATTCCGGAAATAGGCCAGTTTCGAAATTTGCCCACGAGACTGGATATTTTTGAGTCACTGTACAGGGTGTAACGTTCCACACGACACAAAATAAAAATTAATCAAGCCTCCCCTAGCTCAATAGGTATTTCCGGCATGCTGTAACAATGATTGTTAATGTGACGAACCGCGATTGGTATGAACCATCGCGAGATTTAAAAATAATTCGTGGGTCCCTAATGGGGCGTGGTTGGGTTCTATTTTAAGCTCATGGTTATTAAGCAATGCCAGAAGAAAACCTTGCTGGTGCCACACAAATGGAAGTATTGAATCCATCTCAGATGATGGTAATCGCTTTATTAGCATCATCTTTACCGATTGGAAGACCATCTTAGAGTGACCTCAATACGATTGGCAATCGTTCCAAGAATGCTTGGCAAACAGGCTCGACTGTTGAAAAAAAATCCGGAACCAACCCGACTGAAACCGCGATCGCATCGATCATTCAATAATCGAAAAATGTAGTTTTTGATCTGCAAATCCCACTGGGACCCAAATCCGGCAGGTGGCCATGACATTGGAAAAGTCTAAATGAGTCTGACTTGCTCTCATGATTGTTCTATTTCGCACTGAAAAGCTATTTTCAAGACAATCGGTGTCGTCACTCGGTCACGCCTAATTTGTGTTTTGGGAAATTACTGTCTGGCTATACGGATGATATTAAGGAAGTTAAGGCTCAGCTTGTTCCTATAGAAATTACCGCACAGGTTGGCGATAATGCGAATACCAATGGCCAGAAAAGCGCATTTTTGAATGAAATTTATTCTATTTTAAGAACTTTTCTAATTAATTTTTTTTCAAAATCGACTGCAAAATCTTTCGTCAGTTCCAACCAAAATATTATTGTGGAATTTCGGAATAGTAAAATATACACTTAAAAAAATTAATGCAGATATATAAGTGGAGCCTATTCGAAACATACATTCGTTTCGATTTAAATATAGCCGCGAAAGTGGAGCCAATATAGTCGCGTGTTCATGATTACTTCAACAGTAAATAAAATCAAATAAGACTAATGGCACGTTCTCAGTTTCTCGAATTCTATTTTGCATCCTTATGCAATATTTTTTTCGTCGGCAAGAAAACTCATCGAAATTCGCCGGATCTTTTTCGAAGCTTTCTCTTTAAAACCTCGAACCCCGTTGTTGGAAACGTGACTTTTTCAGGTAGAACAAAAGGCTGAAATATCGAAACAATCAACCGAAGATTGATGTAACAACTAAGCAATTCGTTCGGAAATACCACAGTTGAATACGGGAATGTTTAATGTACATTTTCCGCAACCTCAAACAATATCTTCAGTTTCTCAGCTAAGTGACACCAATTAAGGCAAATAGGATAATCTTTCGCATAAAGTGGGCGTTTACTAATGATTTCTTCTTATTCGTGAGCAAATCATCAGCGTTAATGTCTGCAAATTGCCCATAAAATCTGTATTTGCTTATACTTACGTATTTTTTAGCAGTTTCTCTTGTTTGCAAAAGAAATAAACCGGATAATGGCAAGTCAAACGGTCMAKCGCAAAATCAGGTGTAAATTTCTAGCTATCAATCAAAAATGGTTTAGAGCAKTTAAGTAACTCTGTTAATGCTTTGAGMAGRTTYCGGTTTACTRATATTTTTACAAAACCTTTTTWGGGGATTTTATCTCAAGATTTTTGTCTTTAAGAAATAYTGAATTTTCTCACGTCTTTTATTACAAATAGTTGAACAATTYTAAMTGTGCAAAAAATCGCTCTCAATTTTCRTCCTTTTACAAGTTTAAAAGAAAACGTAAATAAAATTAATTACAATTTTTCAGATTAAAAAACTTCAGATTTTAGCATCAACGTTTACACTGACAAATTTSAACTAACTTTGTAACCGGATAAATTCWGAGTGCTGAGAGCGRATCGATCTCTGTTTGAAGCCTTATTTAGTGCAAATCTTTTTCAATTAATGCATGATTTSTARRAAAKTGGGYGTCAGTCAAATTGTCCACAAGGTGGCAARTKAAACAATGCAAATTTGGTGAAAATTCCGCGTGTTTTCAGTTGAAAAAGAAACAGTTTTTTRTACTTTTTTTTGYAACAMCRSCAKTATTAAGACAGACCTCAAATCTGAGAAAAACCTTTTTTTAATTTTTCGCTCATCTCGTGGATTTACAGGGTGATCTTAGGAAACCAACTGTTTGTKCTTGCAGTGATTATTTATTTCCTTGGTCCCATTTTCAAATTTYACTTAGTTGAAAATGTTCCAGAATMCCAAATTTCGGAGGCTATTCTGATTTGGGAGTTTTTGTGCATTCTTGTATATTSAATTTTCGCCTTGAAGAGCTTCAACAGCAGCTCTAGATCGAGAACTCGGACCAAGAGGCGAAACGTTATAGCTGCGAAACCAAAAAGTTGATTTTTTTGAGATCACCCTGTAAATTGATGAGATTGACCGAAAAATTCACAAACTGATTAGAGCGATTTGGCTGATCTTTAAACTTTTAGTGTTGATATCGACAAAACCTCTTTTTGACCAACTAGAAGCATGCCGAATTTTGCGAAAATTGGATTTTTTTAATTGGCATCCTGCAGAAAATTTATCTGAGGTGCTTGATTTTTAGCAAACTAATAACTAACAAAAACAAATGGGGCTCAATAACGCTTCAAACAGAAACCAAATAGCTCTAAGCAATCGGGATTTATCCACTTCCAAACTTAGGGCAAATTTGTCTGTGCAGCGTTGATTTTGTTGGGCAGTTTGTATTACTGAAAAAGGGTGGAAAGAAGCAACTTGCAAGTACCTTGTTGCTTTTATCCAGAAAAGGAACAAAATCAATCATATTTTTTGTTATATTATATATTATTGTTAGTATCATTTTATATCTTTATTAATTTCCTTTGATGTATTGATGCTCGGGTTCAATCTTCCTGAAAAGCTGGCAGGTATACCAAAACAGACTAAAAAATATTGCGAATGCAAATGATGAAAAATTGTAGAAAAAGAATGAAAAATCAATGCCAAAGCGGGAATGGAGCAAGTATGCAATTTGGTCTTGATTGGTAAACTCATGACGCACAATCAATGTGGTTGAACTGTTGAATATGCAGTAAAGAGATGAGTTGAGCGTAAAAACTGGACCCATTAAACAGGCTGGTTATTTTTATGGTGCAATTGATATAGATTATAAAACGCATGGGTATCAAAGTTGCGCTCACTTCCTACTTTGGCAACAAATCCCCAGTTTTTGATTTTGCCTTTTAACTCCAAACAAGTGTTTATTTTGCAGTAAATGGCCAAAAGTAAAAGAGTCCCTTAAATAAATTTTAATCCAACTTTTAGAACCGCAATCCTCAAGTAGTAAAAGTCATTTGACTAATTGTTCGCAAAAAATCCACCATTACCCATGGAGAGAATGGATCTATACAGGATGTGGAGTTCTCCATTTGACTGACTTTCTTTAAACCTACTACGTAATTCTAGGGATACCCCAAAACGCTGCGTAAACCCCTCCTCCTTAGGAAATGCTCCGTGTTATAAAAGTGGTTTGTCCTGAAGCTGAGAGTCAAATCAAACTCGCAGGCAAATCGGTAAGCCTCATACGCGAAAAATCCCACACGCTATTTTCGAAACAGTGACAATCGCGAACGAAATTGCTTGAAAATGGACGTGGAAGAGTTCCGGACGCGAGGCAAAGAGATGGTCGACTACATCTGCAAGTACATGAAGAACTTGCCCAATCAAAGGGTGACTCCGCATTTGGAGCCTGGATATTTGAAGGAGTTGATTCCTTCTGAAGCGCCAGTAGAACCGGAGAATTGGAACGACATCATGGAGGACGTGGACAAGAAAATCATGCCTGGAATCACGCATTGGCAGCATCCGCGCTTCCATGCATACTTTCCAAGTGGAAATTCCTACCCTTCCATTCTGGCTGATATGCTTTCGAATGCCATCGGATGCATCGGATTTTCTTGGGTAGGTCAAACATTCAATGCTTACAGTAGATTAGTCGTGTTAAATTGTAGAAAGTTTCTCTTATCGTCAAATTAATCAGAGGAAATTATACAATTTAATATGTAAGAGCGAAAATAAGAAAATTTTATTTCGCAATGAAATGCAATATTGAACTTGCTGAAGCACAAACTCAACCAGTCAAAGGTTTTTGAGCTTAAAAATCTGCTTTATTGCCTATTTGAAATTGAGCGACTTTCTAACGCTGAAATTGAAACAAAAGTCTTCTTGAAGAAAATTTCAAGTTTTCAACCAGCAGCTGAAAATTGTGCATTTTTACATTAAAATAAAAAACAAGCTGGGAACTTTTAAATTTCCAAGTCAATAATTCTTATTAGATTAGTGTCAACCCACTACTATTGCCTTTGCATTAATCGTATGGAAGTTCCACATTCGAAACCCGATTAGGAATTAAACTAAGACATTTTCTTCGCTGTTATTTTTAGATCGGCTTATTGGCTTCCATATTCAGTTCACACACGATAAAAATCCAATTAATCACCCTTTGAAGAAGGTTTTTCCCACTTCCGGTTCCACTTGCATGCAGTTATTTATTTAAATGCGGAAAAATCTGCGTTTCAACTGAAACCATGATCGATTACATCACAATAGTAAAGTGCATGCTTGTAATTACTCTCCTGTTTAATCTTGGGAACCTTTGATTGGGATAATTGGAAAACTTAGGAAACAGCCAATTAGTGTGTCGCCTTTGAATTCGTTCTGGTAATTCCAGTTACTGATCGCAGCTTTCTGTTGAGTTTCCAATGAAATCGCGGAATTCCATTTGCAAAATTATCGATTATGATTAGCTTAATATGACACAAGTAGGGTTTCTACCAACGAAAGAGAGTTGAAGAAACATTCTTAAAATGTACTTGAACTGACTATTGTGAAACCACATTATAATGACTAGTACAAACCCACATTTTGCTAATGTTATTATTTTAGGCGCTTTAGTCACAACATTATTTTGGTCCGCTTTTATTTCTGTATTCTTACATATTGCAACACTACAATTCGAAAAGTTCTACGGTTAAGCGCTACTTTAGACCGGCGGGGTTAAGCAGGTTTAAAACACGGAAAACACACTTTTCTTCGCATTGCAAGCAGGAAAATCGGAATAAATTAACTTCTTTGAGTGGTGAAGTTGTGGATAATAGTCGATAAATTCGGAAAACTATGTAGATATGCACTGAAAAATCTGAATTGGTACTTTTTTCCAGCCATTAAACTCTGACTAAAAACATTTCTTGCATACATTGATTTTTTAAATTTAAATTAGAATAAAAAGACGAATAAACAGGGTATCTCGGAAGCACACGATATAAAGGGTTCTGTGATATTATTTGCATCAAAAGAAGACGATTCGGACTCTTTCACTTAGAAAAAATGTTCAGCTCTCCTGCTTTCATGATAAATGTTTAAGAAATATATTTTTACAAATATCGAAAGAATGGTACGATGGATTTTAATTAAACTCGCTGTTAATTTTTTCCTATGTAAGACTAGTGTTTTGATGAAGCAATCGAGTTCATGCGCTTTGGACAAGTGGTGAATTCTTGAGTGTCTTGGTACGAAAACTACCAGAACTTTTTATTCGGTGACTGAAATCAATTGATTTTTTTGAGTTAATGAACTAATCGTTTCTATCATCTTTTTGCTCTTTGCAAATTTTTGTAGCCATTTATAGTTTTTGCGCAAAAAAGCATTGAGTTGAATATTGAACAAAAAATTTTGGGCACTCAGTCCAAAAATTATTTTTTTTGTCCGATTTCTGAAAAACTTTTGGAGTTAATGTCTTAAATTGCTAAATAGCAAAAAAAATTGAGATAATGTTTTTGCGTCCAAAACTATCAATGCTACAAAATTTTACAAAGAGCACAAAAATGTCAAGAAAGTATAAGTGCATAAACTCGGGCATAAGTGCAAAAATACGGGTCATAGGAACAAATTCACATCGAATTTTATTAAAATCCATCCCATCATTCTCTCCATATTTCCAGAAACATAAATTATTAGAAGAACTTCGAAAGTTAAAGCACTAATAATTTTTAAACTTTTTTGGGCTTCAACATTCATAGCTTTGGCGCAAAAAAAGATTTTCCATTCTCTCGATATTTCAGAAACCATAATTTGTTTAAAGAATTTGGAGCATAAATAGCAGAGAAAGCGGAAATTTTTTCTTAATAAAAGTTACGTCATATCATTGTCTTCATTTAAGCCAAAGACACAAAGCAATGCAAAACACCGTGCATAGTTTAATAAAAATACAATTAAGGCAGCTGAATAGACTTATCAAAGTACAAAAAGTTAAAAACAATTACACGAAACTTTACTGCAAAAAATATAAACTTAACAACAGAAGAGGCATGAAAAAGTTGTTGTTCTGTTGACTGTTCTGAAAGATCTGTTCTTTTCAATAAAAACAACTGCCCAATTTCGTTACGAATTACTAGCAAAAGAGTCTCTCTTATACATTTATAATAATATTTATTATTATGGTAGTTTCTTGCCTGGGTTCCATTGAAAATTAAAAACACATTTTAATTTCAATTCGATCTTGTATTCGCATTATAATTTGCAAGTTTTTGTGAACGAAATTAATAACACAACAAACGCACAAACAGGCAAAATATCTAGCAAACTTCCATGTAAGGAATTAAAAGGAATTAAAAACATGAAGACGCCCAACTAAAAAAGTCAAACAACGAAGCCAAAAATGTTGACTCAATGCTTCCCAACAACCGACAAGCCGAAGAATTAAAAAAACTTTTGCTTCCACCTTTCTAATTGTTGTCTTGGTGCGTCCATTTCTTGCGTAAACTCTATACAGTTAAACTATAGAGGGCATGATTTCAGCATTTCTGTTACATAAGCTTGAGCATCCTGTATTCTGTCGCTAATCAAAGAGGCCCATTTTCGCCAAAATTTAATTATCAGTTGCTCCATGTCTGTAATAACATCTTACACAAACACTTGCAAGTGATAAATTTTGACTCATTCCGTAACGACTTTTAATGTTCCTAATCTGTGCCAATATGATGCTTACTTTGCATTTTTCATTAACATTCATTACCTACTTTCTGGGGTATGCTGTAATAGAATAAGTACTAGAAGGATTGTGCAATTTTTTGACATTCATTGACTCATTTTATTGCAGGCCGCAAGTCCAGCTTGCACAGAACTAGAAACAATCGTCATGGACTGGTTTGGAAAAGCAATCGGTCTTCCGCATGATTTCATCACCTCCAACAAGGGCAGTACCGGAGGAGGAGTGATTCAAACCAGCGCCAGCGAATGCGTGCTAATCTCGATGCTGGCTGCTAGAAACCAAGCCATTCAATACTTGAAGAAGAACCTCATTGACCCTAATGAAATTGAAGACAGCGCCTTTCTTCCGAAGCTGGTTGGGTACTGTTCTAAAGAAGCCCATTCTTGCGTGGAAAAGGCCGCCAAAATCCTTCTGGTCAAAGTCCGGATCCTTGAGCCGGACGAAAAAGGATCGTTAGACAAGCAGACGTTGGAAGATGCCATTTGCAAGGATAAAGAAAACGGTTTATTCCCGTTCTTCGTCTCAACGATCTTGGGATCAACATCGAGTTGTTCTTTTGATAATTTGCAAGTGATTGGCCCCATTTGCAAAGCGGAGCCTTGCATATGGCTTCACGTGGATGCGGCTTATGCAGGAAATGCCTTCATTTGCCCAGAGCTGAAGCCTTATCTAAAAGGAATCGAGTACGCGGATTCCTTCAACACCAACCCCAACAAGTGGCTGTTGGTCAATTTTGATTGTTCCTGCCTATGGGTGCGCTGCAGAGTTAAACTGACCAGCGCTCTGGTTGTTGATCCTCTTTATCTTCAGCACGCCAACTCAAATGAATCCATCGATTACCGCCATTGGGGCATTCCATTAAGCAGAAGATTTCGCTCTTTAAAACTCTGGTTTGTGATCAGGAAATACGGGCTAGTTGGCCTGCAGAAGTACATTCGAAACCACATAACTCTGGCCAAACACTTCGAGACCCTTGTAAGCAAAGACAACAGATTTGAGGTTCTGAACGATGTACGATTGGGCCTAGTTTGCTTCCGATTGGTGGCCAACGATCAAGTGAATCAAGAACTCTTGGCCAACATAAATGCTTCCGGAAAACTGCACATGATTCCTTCAATGGTTAAAAACAAATACATTATTCGGTTCTGCATTAATGCCGAAGACGCAAAGCAGGAAGATGTGGAGGACGCCTGGAGAATTATTACTGAACACGCTTCCGAAATTCTCGAACCAACTAATAATAAGAAGAAGGAATTCACCAAACCTCCACTCACCAGGCAAATGTCGAAGAGATTTGCTTTTACCAGAAGCGTCTCCAAGGAGCTCTACAAACGGTGCAGAAGCAGATCCAATCTCTTGGATGGTGCCACTCCTATTTTGGTAGCCGACTCGGACGAAGAAGATGTTGAAGTTCAACAAGGGAACAATTGCGAGGCAGTCGATTTCCTAGCAAGTAGTTTGGATGACAATGTTTTTTTGGACGAGTATAAAAAAGATTTCAGGTTTCATCCTCAATCACCCACCGAAATCAAATGTAACGGCATGTAAATCGCTTTAGAGAAAGTGGGAAGGTAATTGAGACTGCAACTTCTGATGCGACCAGAAATATGCTTTGAACACAGGGTAAACAGTATTAACTACACATTTTTCAAAGGCGTTTTATTCAGGTCACTGTCCAAACTCCTTGCTGTTCCATAACTTTGTAAATATGTCAGTATTACTAGGCTTAGCTATAGTTTTGTATTTATTTATTTATTTGTCAGTTTGTAAATAGGCGCGGTGAATAAAGCTGTTTTTTATAATCGATGACTTTCATTCATGTGTTCCCGATGATGCCTTTGTGGGTTTTCATAAAGGGCTTTTTTGTGAAATAACGGCAACCGGACAGGGTTCTTTATTGTAAATGGACCCCACTTTTAACTTAGTTTTTCTATCAGATTGGAGGATTTTTTCTCAACGTTCAATCATTCAATTTGTTAACGTTAGGTACACCTCTATCCAACGATGCCAAAACGAATTCTGTAGCTCAAATGGTTCTTGATAAACTTCGAAAAAAGCAGCGTCATGTTCAAGTGGATTTTGCAACTAAAAAAAACCACGCAAATCTAAAACTTTCTGAAACCAAGCCTTTTTTGAGAAAACTGCCAACATTTCCCCATTCATGGTTCACTTTCTAAAAACGCCATTTATTTCTCTCTAGAATGATGTACAAATGAGCGTTCTTGCTCATTTTGCCTCCGAGATTACGGGACGGAAAACATGAAATTTTAGCATAATCTTGAACCCAAGTGTTTGATATTCAAATTTCACTTTCTGGGTCAAAACCACTCGAATTTCCTCACTACCGTTGTTACGACTGAATCGAGTTTTCAATTCTCTATCCAACGATGCGCAAACGAACTCTGTGGCTCAAATGGTTCGCGAGAAACCTCGAAAAAAGCAGCGTCATGTTCAAGTGGATTTTGCAACTCAAAAAAAAACCACGCAAACCTAAAACTTCTTGAATTCAAGCATTTTGTGAGAAAACTACCAACATTTCCTGATGGATGGTTCACTTTCTAAAAAGGCCATTTATTGCTCTCTAGAATGATGTACAAATAAGCGTTCTTGCTCATTTTGCCTCCGAGATATGAGCAAAAACGGGACGAAAAACATGAAATTTTAGCATAATCTTGAACCTAAGTGTTTGATATTCAAATTTCACTTTCTGGGTCAAAACCACTCGAATTTCCTCACTACCGTTGTTACGACTGAATCGA